ATTCATCATGGGCGCATGAAACACTTTAATGTAACATATTTTATTTTAAATGTAGGTTCGAATTATAGCTTACTGTTCTTAATACCTTTATTTTGAAAACCAGAAGTGAATACGCTGTTTCTCCGCATTTACCATAATGCTAAGAATATAACCTTTAGGGCTTCTGTACATCCAACACCAAGCAGATGCAATTCAAAAACCACAGGCAACAGCTATACCAAACATCTCTATAATGTTCCTGAAGAACAACTCCTTGGAAGACTTTTCTTTGTGACTTGTGTGGCTCAAGGATGGTCATGCTCATATAACTCAACTGCACAACACATAATCTAAATATTATCATGATACAGGTATAACACGGTATTAACATGGTAAAAGCCCCAAAAATTTCCCATCATCATGATTTTAATAGTTTTTTTGGGAAAATTCAATTTGTGATGCAAAAATTATCCTTCCCACAATATCGTGAATCACAACTGCAATACCTGTTAATAATCGCAATACAATGTTTTTACCATGTTGTGCAGCCCTACTTCCCTTGTACCTACATGTATGTGTTGGTATGTACTGATACACAGTTAGTATAAACAATTACACCATTATTTGGGAGTAATTAAGATGTTCATTGCGGGCTGTACTCGTTGTATTACCAGAAATTCTTCTCATATCTTACCCACGCAAGTAGATGACACCAGTCCACTCGTGTTAATAAACCACAACAAAAATATTACTCTTTCGCAGAGTTAAATATCCCTCCAGTTATCCGCCCCCCTGTCAGTATGAGCGCTCATACAGAAATTTAGCAATTAAACAGCAAGATGTTGTTGCCTCATGCATATTTAAAAGGGACTACATTTTGTCAACATGACAGATTTAATCTGCGGGGGCAGGCAAGGTGGGTTACAGGGTGAGCTGTGGGGCATAAAGGGTTGTGTCTCGATTCATGGCTGCAGTTCAGGTTTATGATTCTGCATGTTTCTTAACCTTGAGGAACATTTAACAACAATTACACCTTTAAATTGACACTGCCAGCAGCAGAAACCCAGATTCAGTAAAGATTATGTTCTGTAATAATAAATATGTCTCATCAGGGAAATGAAATGGTAGTTTGCAATAATGACATTCACACTGTGTATTTATTACGGACTTTAAATGGAGGTCCAAACTCAGTTAGTGTGTTTACATGCACACTAATATCCCTGTTATGATTTTGTAGAATATTGGTTATGTGTTATTGCTTGTAAATCATATCTTGGATTCAGAAACCTGGATAAGCTCTCATTCCATTTTTTAGAAAGGTCACAGTCACAACATGGACATGATAAGATGATGATCTACATGATCTGGTTGGAGAACCTAGTAAAGTTTCAGAAGCTGCGTAGTGTTAATAACACCGTAGATTCTAAGATATTTTTTCCATATTGAGGAAAAAAATTGCATCCTTATTGTGGAGGGCTTTCTGCTTTACACCTAGAGGCCTTTCATTGACATGCTGAACCTACGTTCCTTTATTTTCATCAAATATAAAGAATACAAAAAGAAGACACGCTCTAGAATCTACATGGTATGTAACATCCCTGCCCATTTGATGGTCCCGTCTGGACAAATGTGTTTGAAGCATTTTCTAAAGAAAAAGTGCAGGTCTGAAACCCCTAACGTGTTGATGCTCTCATATTTTATTACTGCTGATAAAATGGAGAAACTAAAAGCAGAATGCAGCAGTCCAGTCAGCCAGAAGAAAAATGGGCTCATTCTTAAATGCTGAAAGAGCTCAGTTGGTACAGAAAAGAGTGTACCTAGATGTGGAGGAGTCAGACAGACTTGCATTGACACAGACAATCATAAACCTGGATATTGTTGAAATAACATACGTAAGGATATTACCCAGGTTTCTTATGGTATACATGCAAATTTAATATCCTGATTATAATCAATACCTGGATGAGACTTGAAACCAGGATACTAGTGTCTATGTAAATGTGAAACTATGTGCAACTAATAGGATATCTCAGCACAGTTCAGGTCTAATGATCTTTATAAGAAAAGCAACAGGATCAACACAAAAACATCCATCTAATTACTGATTTTTTCCAGGAATAAAAGCAACATAACCTTCATTTCCTTAACTGAACTTTACTTGGCAGTGGATGGTCAATGGTTATGGTTAGTTTGAAGTATCTAATTATGGCCAAAAGCCTGGCACAAACATGAATTCTTTGTAGGAGTGGGGCAATTAGTTAAGTGGATGGTAAGGATCCAGCTAACACCAGTTTTGATTAATATTTGATCAGCTGCCAAACATACAGCAAGGAAATTCCTTTAAAACATATCAAAAGGGAACAGAACGTTTCACTAGAGTCTGCATATGGCACAGATACATTTTCCCTTTTCCCTATAGATGCCACTAAATCCTACAAACAGGACCTTTAAGAGGATAGAGAAGGACACAATTAGACATCATATAGTCCTTCAAGTACACATTAGCTATGTGATTTAATCCTTTCATTTGTTTGTCTTTGCATTGTCTCAAATAGGGGCTGCTGGTGAACTGTTGGAATAAATTGGAATGGAACTCAACATAAGAATGAACATATATTAGTTATTTGGTTTGAGGCGATTCAATCAATATTTTTGAAAATGAATGTGAGCCAGAAACAGGAAAACTAAGACTTAGCTTTGTTGTTTATGGATCACATTCATTTTTATTATCAAACTGTCAAGATGGCTGGGTTATTGAGTTAGGGTGTTTTACTGTTTTTTTTTATGGATGTCTGGACATATCTCTTTAGAATATTACCAGGGATGGATCGGACATGCAAAAACCTCCCAGGTGTATTACAAGAAAGGACAGGTTTTATAAATAAAAGACGTTACTGTTGGGACACTGTTGTCAGTGTTCTGGTATATTGATCCTGGGAAGTGTGTGTTTTAGTTGCTTTAGAGCGTTTTGGATGTTACATTAAAGGGAAACCTAGCTTTGTGTTCATTACAATGTGGGTGTATAGGCAATTGAACAATGTTTAACTCTCCTCCATGTTGCCTGCACCCAGAGCTCCCCGCTAATTGGCCAGTAAAACGCTTCATCTGGCGGACGTTTGCCTCTCTTGATTTGACTGTCTGTGGAGGCAGGCATACAAAACATGCAGAAGTTCAATATGTAGTTCAAACAACATCCCTAGAGTGGGGAGCTCTGGGTCCAGGCAACATGGAGGTAAGTTAAACAATGTTCATTTGCATACTATCCACACTGTAATGATACAAAGCTTGCTTGTCGGCAAAGTCCCCCATTAACTGTTGTTGTTTGTATTACCAATTGCAAAAAACTGTAAAGTACAAACTGGCTATGACAGACAGTAGTGTTTATTCACTATCACAACTGGCCTTTAAAAATAAATCATTTTAAAGCAGAAGTGGCATTTCTCTGTTAGTTAATCTGGCAGATTGACCTGTAAAGCAGCTCAGGTGGAAGCCTGCAAGTGCAGATTCATTCACATTGGACATTTCTTTAATGTATTCAGCGGTGCCTGGTGCTCTGTCCTTTTGTGTGAGGTCTACCGTAAAGAGGATCAGTCATGCCTTAGCCCAGACGCACAAAAGAAAATGGAGCACCAGCACCAAATTTAAACGTGTTACCACATGTTTTGGTGAAGAAAAAGTCTCCTGTTGTCACCGTCTTATTGGCTTGGTATTTGAGTGAATCGGCTGTCAGGCTTTTCATTCCCACTCTGAGACAAATGGAGAAGGGGCAGGGAAGCAAT